TTTACTAAAGCATGTACTGAGAACAAAAAGAAGAATAATGGTAAACCAAATTACTGAAAATGGCAAAGAGCTATTGCTAAAGGGTAAGTATTTAATGTTGGTATTAATACCTACATAGGATTATAGTGTTCTGAAGTATCACTGTATCTTAACTGAGGAATAAAATTGTTGCACTTTCTGAGACACAGGATTATTAAATTGCTAAATCCTTTGAGTTGTGTAGTATCAGTTAACTTGATAGATAGAGCTGTTCTGTCATCTAGTTCTGCAGAGTACCTTACAAATTGGATGGTAACTTCACACGTTTAGGGATAAATCATAGAATCATAGAATGTCAGATTGGAAGGGACCTCAAGGATCATCTGGTTCAACCATTTCAGGTAATACTATAGTTTAAATATAAAACATCTGTACTCAGTTGTACACTTAATTCCATGCTCTGTTGCATAGGTTGTTTGGGAGAGCTTTGGCTGTTCCTTTCATGCAGAACACAAACAAATGCATTCTGCAGAAGTCTGAACTGTTTCAGAGGAACTAATATACTGTCAACAGTACAGCTTTTTAGTTCACTTTTTGGTAAAACTGTGCATTGTTTGTGTCACTTCTGTAGATGCCAGCGCTGTTGCAGGTTATAAACATGTACATGCAGTGTAGTAATGAATTTTAAGAAACACACCTTTACTCGTTGGGTAAAATGCAGTTAACTCAAAACTTAATTGACAATGAAGTACTGTTATGTATTAGTCTTAAAATGCTGAACGAACACATACTCTTAAAAACACCAGTGAATGCCGATAGTTTGGTGTTGAACCTGGAATTTCTGATGGAAGCATGTTTCTGGGTCTGGTGTGTGAGAGTTCAGTGTTGTGAGTGTAACTGATAGTTTGAGCCTGTGTTTAAAGCACAGAGGATCTCTTTGCTGCCTAAAAGCTATCCAGGTTAAGATCTATCCTTTCATTCTGCTGTTCTTTTCCTCTCATACAGCCTTATTGTTGCATGGGTTGTTATCTGGAACAACTCTGGCCTTTATTTTTATAAAATACTGGGTCAGCCTGGAATTCACAGCTCTTCCTGCCATCTTCAGTGAAAAAGTCAACTGGCATTAAGAGATGGCATTTAGTTATTTCATTACCAGTGCCTAATTTGTAGTGTTAATGAGTTTTGTCTAGATGCAATGCTTACTTATTTCATGTTTCTATTTCTGATGTATATATAATACTCCTAAAAAAACAAACCACCACCTAAAGCACTCCACTCTCAGTGGGTCTTTTTACACAGTTGAAGAAATATTTTGAGAACTGTTTTTTTCTGATCTTGGAATGTCACTGTCAAATCTGATGCTACTGCAAAATAATAAAATTCTTGTTTTCAGTTTTGCAAAACCTTAAAAGTTAAATAATGACTTTCTGTTTTTACATGAAAAAAAGTGCTTTGGATAATACTGACTACTTTGTAGCTAAAGTGAAAATAAGTATTCCTCATTATGAGATTTGTTATGTCAGCTGCTTGTTCTGCTGCCATAAATGAGTTTGTAATCAGAATTTTCATTTTAGAAATGCTTGTGTTTCTGACTAGCTGTGTGTTGTTTACTGAGAAACAAACATTTCTAACAGCTTCTCTTTTAAAAATACTATTATTTTAGTATCTCGCCTTTTGGCTATTATTGATGTTGGATTAGGATTTTTTCTAAGGACTTGAAAATGAGTAACTTCAGAAGCAATATCTGGTGGCTGTTTATGAAAATTGTAGATAATGATCTCTGCAAAAATTTAATTGTAAATTGAGTACTTTTTATAGTCTCCTGAATGAACCAAGAAAGAGGTTTCGTAACAATTTGCAGTGAATAAGAGTTTCGTTTAGCACAGCCACATGTGAGGAGCCACGTAAAGTATATAAGCAGATTTAGAATGTATTTTAAATTAAATTGTCATCTATATTCTTATGCTATCTTAATGTGACAGTGTATTGAATGTTTTGCTGCTGAAATGTGGCAATACTGGGGCTCTTGAGCTGCTAGGAGAGGCCAAGAGTATTGTTCAGGGTTTTATCTTCAGCAATTCTCAGTTCTGCAAAACTTTACTGCTAGTGGATGATGAGAAGAACCTGGGCATATGGGAGGGAACCAAGTTTTATCTCACAATACCAGCACCTGGGAAAATAGTATCATTGTTAACATCTTGAACGTTCTTGTCAACAACTGTGTTAAACCAGTTTCTTTTGTAGAAACAAACACAGCAAAACCCCAAAGTGTAATATAAATGGACACAGACAGCTTTTTATATTAAAGCTTTATCCTTAGGGCTGTGAGCTGTCTTGAAAAATAGCACTGTGACTAAGCAAATTACCTGAATATGCAAGGAATAAATATTCTGCCTGAAAATAATTTCTGTTTGCAGCAGTCCCATTGTTCCTCTGATTTTTTTTTTTTTTTTTTTTTATTTTTTTTATTTTTTTCCCTGAAACATACCTATCTTGGATGTATTCATTTGCTTCTAGGTCTTGTGAGAATAGTTGAAGTGTAGCCAACTATTTTATTTTTCTGATTAAAAAAATCAAACTGAATTCTGGCCTAATTACCAGTTGTGTAGAAATTTGCAGAAGATCTTGACACATGAAAATCTGGAAAAGAATAAATAAATCAGAACAGAACTAACTTGTTTTCCAAAGTGGGATAAATTTTGCCTACCTTAAGCCATCTATAAATTAAGTGTTTAAGTTAGGTTCTCTTGAGAGGTAATTCACAGCATGCCAAGGTGCGTGTGCAGGAGAGACACTCCAGGGATCAGCTAATTGCACTGTCTCTGAGCAACAAGCAACCCTACATGATTAGTTGAATATAACTGCCTGCTGGTTAGATAGCAGTGAGATTAATGGAAACCCAAACCAGCTGCTTGGAGATTGACTCCACTGTTAGATTCCTGTGTTACTTGTAGCTGGAATATTAAAAATATGACTGAAGTTTTTTTAATTTAAAAAAAAAAAGACTGTGCATGGAAATGCTCAGTTTGTGTCCCTGGCTCGTACAGGCTTGGTGGCCAGTGATGCCTGTAAGATAGTGTCTGAGTGACAGAAAAAAGGTTGGCTGCTATAAAGTCTGTTTCACCACTTTTTTTTTTTTTTTTTACTATGGTCTACACAAAGAAACCTGTACATGGATAGTACAATTGCAGCTGAGCTTATAGCTCTTACACTGCTCCAGAAATTAAATTACATTGAGGGGTCGAGAATTGGACTGTCTTTTGAGCTGGTTTTCTAGGAAACATCTGCTGTTTGTTAATTAAATAAACCAACAGGTTTGTTGTTTTTTTTTTTTTGTCAAGGCTAGCATTTAATCTCTACCTCTGCTTTGTGCTCCGATTCACACTAAAATTCTTTGAAGAAATTTAGCCCCCTTAGTTAAGATTTGGCTCTTGCAACTTCAGGCAGGGAGGATTATGGCAGCTCTGCCTGCCATTGTCACAGGTTGTAGTCATTTCTGGAGCTTTGTCCAGCTTGCCTGCCTAGCAAAGCGTGTGGGGCTCTATGCGTTCCTCTTGAGATGCTACTGGTGTGTGTCCTTCTACCAACTTGTATTTAATTAGCTGATACAGGCTTGCAGAAGCAAAACAGCATATGCTTGTTACCAAAGTTCATGCCTCTTAGCAATTTTTTTTTTAAAAAAAATGTTCTAAGACTTCCTGGAACTCTGTTAGCATTACTGTGTTTTTCACTTCTCGTTATCTGTGCTGGCTGCACTACAGCTAGTCAGGCTATGTCCATCTGTCCTTAACTTGTCAGGTAGGTAGAGTCTCCATAAGAACTAGGTGAGTATTTTACTGAGTTAGTCATGTGCAAATTGAAAGACCTGAAGTGGTTTTAAGATGTACTAATTTCCACTTATTTAACTTAAGAAAACCACCCTTCCTCTATTTAATCATCTTCAAGGGAGTTCAGAAACTGACAACATAGGAGAATAAAACCTCCACAGGTCCAGTCATGCAGCTGCTTCTGCCACCTTCTCACAGGGATGATGTTTCTTTGGCTGAGTAGACTTTATCACTGTGAAGCTTCCTGCTCTTTCTTTACAGTAGTCTAACTGTGCCTCATTTTTCAACTTTCGTTTATCCTCGCTCATCTGTCTTGTAGTTACTTTATATATGTTTTGTCTGTAGTTCTCTCTAAATTCTGTTTTTCATCCCTCAGTTACTAAAGAGAACACATTGGCTTGCACAGAAGTCTTGCTCTTGGTGTGCTCAAGTGGTGAAACTCTGTCTCTCTGGCCTAATCCTCTTCCAGAAGAAAAGCAGTAATGATAACACTGTCATCTGTGTTCTTAATATTTTTTTCTTTTTTTTAAAAATGAAGACAACATAAACCTTTTGGAGAAAAACAGAATAAAACCAGTTAGTAGGCTATGGTACAGTTTTACCACAGAGTTGTCTTTTTTTCTTGGTAATGAGATAAAAGTTAGGTGACAGCTTGGACATCCGTTGCTTGCTTTTATTCTGTCCTTCGGGAGTGTGTGTTTGGATGTATGGGAGTATGCATGCTTAAGGTTTAAAAGTTTTGTTTTGTGGACCATCTTTGAAGTTTTATGGAACTCCACGTGATCCACATCCTGATGAACTGGCTCTTACAGACCTGTGTCCATACCTGAGAGCTAAAAAGTTCAGGGAACTCTGGTGAAGATGATACAGATAAAGTGTGTATTGCAGTGGTGGCTGCAAATAGAATTATTTAGAAGATAATTGGTAGTGTTCAGAAATAAAATGCTTTAATTATTGAAAGACAACAAAGACTAAGAAGAAATGAAACAAATTAAGAGGAAATATTAACCTACCTGCAGTATATCTTACCTGCCACAAAAATTGAGATTAATTAGGGACTAAGGTAAATAAATTATTCTCTGTTGCAGAGTATCTAGCTCCCTCTTTAAGAAATGTTCCTTGCAAAACAATCTTGCATGATGAAAACTAACACCACATAGCTACTGTCCAAGACCAAAGACTTGGTAACTGAGAATGTCGAAAACTGTACGCATTTCACAAGATGGTGTTTGCCCAGGAGACTTCATGCCTCTGGATGTAAACTGCCCTCGTGTGAAGCTGGGGCAAGAATTCCCCGGAGTAGCTTTCCGAGGTCACCTCCGCTCTCTTCCAAAACTGATGGAGATAACAAGCTCTTCCCATGCAAGTAAGTCTCTTTGAAGCTGCTGATATTGGTCATTGACAGATGGAATATACCAGACAAAACTGTTATTTCAGTATGTGCTCTGTTGCAGTCCTTTCTATTCTGTTTTGTCAAAGTACCTTTGTGGTGCTTCAGGAAGTGGTTATCTGCCATAGGTTTTACTCATGAAATTGGAAACAATATGGAAAGAGAGGAGATGAAATGAACACTTTGATGTTCTGATTTAGAATATGTTTGAAGAGTAGAGATTGCACTGTATGTGCAGCTGTGGTGAAGGTGATTTTGGCTATTATGTAATCAGCTGTATTAACTTTGCAGTAGAGCACTCTCCTTGCATTGGCACACATCTGTGCAGCACCAGTGCTACATGTTGGTGCAGTTAAAATAGGATGTCCGTGTACATAAAACTTACACTCCTTTTCTTCCTTTTGAAAGTGTACAGTGTTTGAAGAGAGGGTTTCATGTGGCACTTCATTGGATCAGTAGAATCATACAGTTTGATAGTTCACTTTTATTTCTGCATTGTCTGCAGTAATTCATAATCAATACATACTTTCAGGCTAGGGGAGCTAGTGCTGTGAATGTTGTAAAGAAATAGCTGTATTTCTCTATCATCTGAACTTTTTCATTGAGAGAAAAATATGCCCTGGTAATTGCCAAAATAATGCTCTCTTTCCAATTTTACTGATTCAGCTATTGCAGTTTGCTTTGTTTGAGCTCACTGTTGTGCAAGAGGATGCATAAAGCAAACACCACGGAATCAAGTTCAGTCTAATGGGAAGGAATTAGATTAGGCTTGAAAATGCAAATGGAGAATGAGAGGAGTTGGAAGCTCTTTTTGAGAGACAGAGCACTTCTGAAAAGACCTGTTGTGAAAAATATATTTGAGGTAAAATGAGGATGCATCTAAAAATAATGCCAGGGAACTTAAAGATTCATCTTAAGTCACTGCTCTTTGACAGGCTCAGGGAGATGGTATGAAGTAATGTTTCTTAACTAAGAATAGATTACACCAATAACAGTAATGAGAGTCTTGGTATTTTGAATGAGCAAAACATCTGTCATCTTATATAAAAATCTGTGATTGAATGTATTATCTTGACAACAGTGTGATTATATACATAGGAAGGGTGAGAGTTTGTGTAAGCATTACAAAGAACAGCCATTATACTTTTTTTGAGACAGTGGTAAGCTGCATCTGAGGTTCCTGAAGGAAGAACACAGAAAACTGTTAACATAGCAAAGAATTGATTTAAAAATTGCTCAGTGATTTAAAAAAAACCAACAAACCACAACACAAACTAGTTCGATTTTTCAGACATTTTGTTACCAGAGCTAGTATACAGGAAATGACAAAACAAAGCAGAGTTACTCATGACTTCGCTGTGTTGTGTTTTGAAGTGTAATGATGAGAAGATACTGCACAGACTTGCATCTTGCATCTGTCTCTGATTTATTAAGCAAAACCTGGATGACAGCTAACAATTTCCTTAGCAAAAATTGCAAACCTCCTTCAACCAAGATGGGATAGAATGGGCTGCAGCAGAGTTTAAAATACATACTGCAACAAAATTGGTCCTGTGTACTCCTTCTGCCAAGACAGACATAACAAATACAGCAAGCAAGTAGCTGTGGAATATTTTGTATTTAATATTTACCTTTGCTGTTAAGCATTTTATTTGAATGCTGTTCTGCCAAGCTTAGTGATATATATATTTTTGATATATATATTTCTAATTGTGCAAAAAAACCCTACAGTGTACAGCAATGTGAACATCTCTTACATGAAGTTGGGGTCAACAAATAAGCTGAGCCCACTTGTGCAAGGAAGCTGCTAAATTACATCTTAGTGTTAGTTGTCAGAGCTGTGGGAAAAGCAGTAGGCAGGCAAACACAGCAGACTGCCATCTACAAATATTTTTGGTCAGCTGAGTGTTTACTTCCAGAAGCTTAAGAAGACCTCTGCTGTTTGTGAATACTGTTTTTCCAATAGTTTTGTTCAGAGCAATTTCCAGCAAATTCTCTTCATCAATCCCTTCTCCCCAGTAAGACTAGTACTGAACTCTCAAGTAATTTTTCTGTTTATAGCAATTTGTTTTGTAACAATGTGATAGATGCTGATCACTGTGTCTAGAGGAGGAGTCTTCTATTTGCCTTTTAGATTGATTTTCTAAGTTGATTCAGATTTCAAAGTGTTGAGATACTTCAACTCTAATAATTTAAAATATGCACCAAAAAGATCCAGCTCTCATTTTCTGCTTTATATGTATTCACTTTACAATACTTCTTTATCTTGCAGTATTTTCATTTGAGATAATAAGTTTTTCTTTAATTTTCCATTTCTTTAGTGTATACTTTTTTGGTAAAAAAATAAGTATTCCTTGGATTGATCTTTTCTTAAGGAGATACTCTTGGATATCCTTTTAGTTTGAATTGGCAGAAAGAGCAGGGAGTGAAAAGTTATAGGCAAAAGAGAGAAATTTTTGTTTGTCAAGCAGAGTGTAATGGAGCCACAGGTCTGAGGAATTCTGCATAGTGGAATAAATGTTATGTTTTTAATTATTTTATTTTTAGAGTTTATTTTATACTATAGTGCCCTTACATTTATTTTTTTTTTATCCTTGTTAGAAAAAGTTCTAGTGATCTTTCATGTTTGTTTGGTTTTTTAACATTGTTCATTGCATATGTGAATGCTTTGCTTTTACTGTACCTGATGTTAGGTTTTAACTTAAAAGCATAAGAGGAGTCTGAAGAATGTGTAGTCTAAGTGTTTGAAATACAATAAGGGTAAAGGCATCATGAAGTGAGCATGTTTGATGTTTAGGGTTAGTGGGCATAGTGAAAAAACAAAAAGGGGGGCCCTTGTTGATATTTGCCTGTATTGTAATAACAGAATCTCATCTTTGAATTGTTCAGTCTTACTAAATCTACCTTATCTGTTTTGACATAGTGCTCAGAAGTTTTTCTTAGTGCACAAGAATTTTCTTGTGCACTTCTTGTCTTTTCACTTATTCTATATAAAAAAATAGTTATAAAAGAGAACATTAGAGAATAAAGGTGCAGATTGTGCTGTAGCTGTGACATTACTTGTAAATTTTACTTTGAGGTGATTTACTGTTCATTTTAAAGTGGAAATGGTGGAGTAGAAATAGAAATAACTGTACCTTGGGAGTAACATTTCTGATTTTGATAATGGTGTGTAACTTTAGATACTAAAAAGAAACAGATTCAAGTGAGCAAACAAGTTTATTCCCTGTGCTTTTTGTCAAGGTTACAAAGTCTGTCTTTCTGCTTTTACCAAAACCTGTTTCTTCTTTTCTTTGCAGGTCATGGCAATCATAAAGAAAACAGTCCTTTCCTGAACAATACAGAAGCTGGCAAAGGAGGTGATTACTATGACAGAAATCTGGCCTTGTTTGAGGTAATTTCTAACCATTTTTCATACTTCTAATGTGATTTATGGTCTTCCAAGTTGGGAGGTATTCAGTGGAAAACAAAGCATTGCAGAGGTCCAGGCAGTGGGTTGGTACCTAACTCTCTGCATGGCAAATCTGAGAGCCATTGGTGTGTTTAGGGGTATGCTTACACAGTAGAAAAACATAATGGTACCAGAGAGGGTCTGATTAATTTAAGTAATGAAGGTGTGGCACTGGGCTCATCAGTGTGGAAAACAAACATGGGCTGATTTACTGTGTCATTCTATAGGAGGGTGCCTAAATTCAGGTACTCTGATTAGCCTGGGTATCCCGTATTACAACTGCATTGGATCAGTACTACTGATTCCTTTCCCACATGCTTTTTTTGTGGGTGTTTGTCTGTTGTCTGGGGTACCAGGAGGCAGAGGTACCCTGTGTGATGAAAAAGCTCAGATATGATGGTCACCTGGGACTCTGAGGCAGAGAGGTATGACTGATTCCATGTGGAAGTAAGGAGGACCAGACTCTCATATAGGAGGCCAGTTGGAGCTGTACCAAGTCTAGCAGAATCATCCTCTTCGTCCTCCCCTAACTGCAAATATATCATGGTGTGCTAAGGCCAAGTTTCTAGTTTCGGAAGCTCAGGTGCTGGGGATTGGTGGAGAGAGTCTTTGTATGGCTCTGCAGCTGCTTTCCAGCTTGGCTTCTTCTGAGTTACAGCTTCACAGCAACACTGGCAACATGTACCTGGTGTTCCCCATGCTGGGAACTCGGTGTGGGGCAGCCTGAGCTGGCTCTGCACCCCACCAGGTTGGCGCCTGCAGGGTTCAGCTGCATGGCACGGAGCCTGGACAAGTATAACTAACCTGCTGCTGGATGGAAATGCTATAACTGTGTTTGCAGGCAGTGTGCTTGTGCGGAACGACTTGGAAGCATGCTCCCAGCTATGGTGCCTCCTCTCTCCAAGTGCTGGTACATCTGTGATCCTCATAAACTGGCGTGCAGATCATGGAGTTGGCCTCTTAAGGCCTGGCTGCTGCTAGTCACACACTCACCTTTTCCGTAAGCAATAACACAGTACCACACCAGGGCTGCAGGCTCTTTCTGTACTGAAGAGGAGGAGGAGTAGGAAGCATCCCTGGGGCCATGCTGCTCAACTGAACAGGAAGCATTAGTTGCCTCAACCTCTTTCTGGAAGAAATTGTAATCAGGTTTTGATAGATGTAAATTACAGATGAGATCAGAGGAAGGAATAAGAAAAGGAACATTTGGGGTCAGTTTCTGCCATCAGGTACAAAGCACATAATGCTGCTGATCCTCCCAGAAGTATTTTGTAATGGTAGATGAAGATATAACTCCAGACAGTGAATTGTTTCTTAATAATTTTTTATTTCCTCTGTAGAAGGTTGTTTCTCTTTACCATGCATTACTGTGCAATTAGACAAGTAAGACATTTTAAGTTCAAAGAGAAAAGGGAAGGGAATGATTTTGTTTTGATTTTTTTTCACCTTTAACTTCCTTTCAGAAGCACAAGTTGGATGGTAAAGCTTAGGGGCCCCTGTACATGTGGCTTTTGGGATTTTTATTTAGATCCACATACATTGGAATATATAGTTTGAAACATGTAGTAGCATTTTCAGAGTACACGCATGCCTGCAATGACTAGAGTTTAATCAGTAAATCTGTGATTTATTTGGCAACTGGACCTTTTGCAAAGTGTATCTGTTGATGTAAGCTGACAGAGATATATGCAAGGTACATATCCATTTTCTGGCAGTCCTAAGGCTCAGATGTCTTCTTTACTGCTGTAATTTATGCTTTTCAGCACTTAAGGAGAAGGATGCGAACCTGTTCCTGCAGCCTTTTCCTGTCAGATTTTCCCTCCTTTCAGAAAATTAAGTCCTCTAATCGGTGGTAAAGGCACAATTAAATATTCTGTCATTCCCTGGATGATTTTCCTGGTGTGTTCCCTGGCAGCCTCAGGCATGCCAAGGAAGGCATGACCCCAGCCAACTTCTCTTCATAAATGTTGTGAGTTGCAGAAGTTGACCAGCTGTCGTCTTCCACAGGAAGAGCTTGATATACGACCAAAGGTGTCATCTCTGCTGGGCAAGTTGGTCAACTACACAAATCTTACCCAAGGTGTTAAGGAACATGAAGAAGCAGAAAGTACTGATGGCTCAAAGAAGAAAGTATCAAAGGTAAGTGAAGGTTCTCTCCATGGCTAGGTGATGAATGGGCTGAATCCCTGTGTAATTTTTTTGGGAACTGGACTTCTTTCTGCTTTGTCTTAACATTGTGGCAAAGAATAGCATAGAACTCTGTAGATAAGCAGATGTTTCCGAAGAATTGAGGCAGATGAAGTGGTTAAGCACACTTGGTATGGGTTTAAGAAAGGAGGAGTGGCTTTTAGTGGTGAATTGAATAAACAAGAAAACAAAAACTTCATTTTGTTCCTAGTGCTGTTTTAGCTGCCCAGCAGTATCTGACTCATCTCTACAAGCCTGGTAGGTATGACACAGGACTTGCAGGAGACAACACCCCTCTAGAGTTGTGGATGAAGGTCAGGTTGGACAGCCTGGGGCAGTTCAAGTCATTCTGGTGTTAGGCAGTTAAACAACTGAAATCTGCTCCAAAGGATCTGCATTTAGATGGTTAGCCTATTGGGGTGGCCTTGTAATAACTAGGTAGAAGTTTGGGTTTGATTGTTGGTAGTTAGATTTCTATCAGGAGGGCTGTGTTCTAACTGCTCTTAGTCCTCTGACAGTCAGGCCAATGTTTCAGTTAGTGCTAAACCCCGAAGTGGGAAGGTTGCATTTTATGGCACTTGCAGGCCTGTTAGTTCACTTACCAGTCTTGTCAAAATTAAGTTTCTAAAAAACTAAGATAACACTTGAGTTCTGCAGGTTTTACAGTACTGCCCTATCAAAGTTTGAGCCATTTAAGCAAGAGATGGTAATGATAACATGGAAAAAGAGCACATTGTTCTCAAAGAGAATGCATGTTACCCCATGCTGAAAGCTGGATTCCAGCTCCCTTACTCACACTTCCAGTTCTACCCTGCACAGCTTTACACTGGGGTTAACAAAGTTGTTTGGTCCACGTGAAACTTAAAATTCAATTTTTTCAGAGACCACATGCTCTAAAATTCTGCAATATTGTGGCTAATATGGCATCATGACAAGACTGAATGAAGGCTGCCTGAGTCACTGTTCTGGTACTATAAGCTTACATGAAAATGTAATCGAAATATTTCAATTGTGAATTTATTTTGTGTACTTGGTGTTATACTAATTGCTGAGTGTATATTACTTTTGCATTACTAATATGAAATGTCAGCTCCATGTCTGTTTTGGTGATGTCAGGCATCAGCTGTTAGCATGGGCTTATTGCATCTAAATAATCTAAAATAATTTCCAGCCTCCTCCTGTCAAAAGCAGATTGATTATTACCCCAAGAAAGATAGAATGGATGGGGATACAGCAGGTGCAGTCTTTCCAATTTTGAGAAAGTTCTCATTGCTTTTGCTGTTTATTTCCTTATTAATTCCTGACCAGAATACCAGTGTAAAATGCAGTCTAATCTGAAAGTTTCATAAGATGAAAATGGGGAAATAACAGGAAACCTAGAAGTTGTTTTTAAGGCCCCCGGTAGAGTAACAAATGAGGTTTAGTGCTAATGTTTCTACACCTAGGTATGATTTATCAAAACACTTGCATATTTTCTAACTGTTTACTGCCATAAAAAAGGGCTGTTGTCCTTATTAAAGCTATGCTTCTGTGATAAATTAGAGTTTGGCCTTAATTTCTGGGTTGTCCTGAATTATGCTTTCTCATGTCCCAAAAAGGTTTTGTAACCATTCCAAAAGTGACAGTATCATCCTGTGTCAATATCTCAGCATTTTCTGTGTAAACACTGCAGTTTTCTTAAGTGAATCTTTGCCTAGCATGTCAGTCTTGGGGATAAATTACATCAGCTGCAATATTGCAACTGTAGTTTGAGTTTCTTCTCCCTCTCTTGCCATAAGCAATATGAAAATTTAAACATCTTATGAAATAGAAAAAGGTTGAATATTAACTTGGCCAATATTTATGATAAATAAAAACAAGACATTAAAAAAATGCTATGGATTGAAGGCATCCAGAAGCTGTGCAAATGGGATTCTTTTACACATTTTGTTTTCAGTCATCTTTGAAGTATAAATTGATGCACTACTGTTACCTTCTCCTTCCCAGTGGAGCTTTAGTTCAGAAGCCTGAATACCCACCCCAGCATGATAGCAGGTTCTGTTTTTAAGTGCCAGCATTGTTAACTGAATCACAGCTGAGTGCTATACTGGATTCACTCTGCTAATACTTACCCAGCCAGTGTGACAAAAAGTAAGCTGCCTGTCATGATGTGTCACTTACTGGAATTGGTATCTCATAGACAAGAACTGCAGCAGGGAGAGTGAACAGTCTCTAGATGCGGTATTCAAAACCTGTATGAAAAAAAGCAGTTCTTTTCTTTCATTGAGTGAATATATCTGAGCAGGTAAGACAGGTTTTTCAGTGAATACCTTTTTGTGACCTACCACACCCCTGCCTGCCAAATCATATCCATTTGAATGACAAAAAGAAGTCAACACAAAACCACAAACCAACAAACAAACGGAGACATAAAAGAAAGAGAGAGTGCAGTTGTGTGAACATGAAGTGGCCACATCTATGAGGGGTGGGTTTAGAAAAAATGAGATCTCCCTCCCAAAGTTTATGCTTAAAGGACTAGAGAATGATGTGCTTTAGTTTGTGGAGATCATTGTTGTCAGCACTTGCTTTCTATGGTTACAAGACCAACTGGGACCTGAACATTTCTGCAAGCTCTAGAAAATACATTGCTATCCCCCTTCTGATCTCTTTAATTGCTACAGAGTTTGTAGAAGGTGCAAAGGAAGATCAAGACAGTTTCAGTACAAAATGGCTTAATATAAAAATATTATCCTGTTTCAGCATTCCCATTAAATATTTTTGATGGTAGATACACATCAGATAAACTGGACACTATGTAGTAAGGTAGAAACTGGGTTTCTATTTATCTTTTCTAAATACAGTCTTGTATTACCCAGCACTTAAAAGTGCTTTCAAAGTAGTGCTATAAAAATATCCCCTTCTCATGGTGGAAAAATTAGATGATGACTCTTGAGCTGCCCCAGGGTATCCAATCTGACCTCCACCCACCACTCTAGAAGGGTGTTCATGTATCTTTAATAAGGCAGTTGGTTTCTATGCTGCTGCATGTCCTCATGCTGCAGAGCAACCGCAAGGGCTGTCATGACTGATCAATGTCCCTGAGCCCTGCAGCCAAGGGCTTTGATAATCCATCACTCTGGCA